AGTTGTAATATTTTGGAGAATTTTTTAATCACACTTTTATCACATGAAAATGGCAGATGACTACATACCACTGTTTTGAAAATTGAGATACCTAGCTGTCACTTCCCATGAGGAGTTAGTGTTTTGTTATCCACCATGGAAAATGACAGCTAATAGATAATTTGCCACAGCGAATCAGATATTTGTAATTTCCACTTTTTTCAATTCATTCTGAATCTCAATTAAAAACGCTCTTTGAAAAAGTTCAGAATTTTTTCCATTTTTTTAAATCATTCTATCATAATTTTTGGGAATTTCTACTCATAATGCACCACTCAATTGACAATTTTGGATTACGAAAGATAAAAAAAAACCGGATAACATTCGAAAGATAGTACACCCGGGCCATCCATTTTTTCTTTCATTGACTAGTCAATTTTTTCAAAGTGAAAATCATCATTTTTCATGCAAGAGAAATAGTGAAATAATTCTTTTAGTGCATCAAAAACCAAGTTTTATATTTTTTTTCTTTTAGAAACGATTTTCATGGTTTTTTCTACATAAAAAAAACAACTTTGTAATTATAATTTTTTTAATACAGACGTATTTGGTTTTTTTGATGAATAAATTGATAAATTCCATCCAAAAAATCGATTATTTCTTTTTTGTTCATTTAGACACGATTTCTATGGATTTTTTCTAGATGAAAAAAATTACTTTTGCAATTTTTTCCCCAAATTACGAAGTTTTTACGATTTTTGATAAATAAAGTAACTAATTTCATTCAAAAAATCAATTGTTTTTTTTTCATTAAAGACTGCATTTTTTACATCTTTAAAATTGAAAATAATCATTTTTTATTGTAGAAAAATAGTTAAATAATTATTTTAATGAATGAAAAACCAAGTTTCATCAGCTTGTTCACTAAAAAAATCATTGTTATGCCTTTTTTGCACGAAAAAACTTAATTACGTAAATTATTTTATTAAATTGCGAAGTTTCGAGGTTTTTTAATTCATTCTAAATGTTAATTTGATGAATTAATTGTTGTTAATTAATGTTCATTGTTTAGATATTTGAGCACGCCCAGCAAGACCCACCCAAAGTAACTGTAGCTGAATTATTACAACAATTGAGCGTCACTCAAGCTGAATTGGAGAACATAAAGGTGAGTTGTCCATCAATTTCCTCTTGCTTCAACAAAAAAACGAGTAAAAACAGAAAAAACTCGTTGCTTAGTGCAATTGCAAGTAGTAACGATGGATGAATGAGATTAAAGAACGGAAAATACTGGGGAAGTCAATTTTACAGAGCGATTTAGCCCACCGAACTCATTTCCATCATCAAAACAAATTTATAGAAGTGAAAATTCTGGGAAACGTAGTACGGATCTATCTTGATAATGAGTGGCTTTAGGAAAAAATGTCAAAAGATTTTTTATGCAGAAAATTAAATTCTCTACGAAATTGCTTCATGCAATTTTTTTCTAAAATCACTTGCTGCACAGATAATTAGCCAATTAATGAGTGAAAAAATAGTTCGAATGAAATATAATATTTTTGTTAATTTTATAATCATCTTCACTAATTTTTTTTAGTAAAAAAAACATTTTTTAGGGAAATGTTTGGTGATATTTCTTCTAGGGCTGCTTATTCCCGAAAAAATTTCCAATTAACAAACCTTCAATTGTTACATTTGCCCACTTCACTCTAAAATCACTAGAAAAAAATTAAAAAAAAAAAAAAAAGAGTAAATAAAATACAAAAAATTAAAAAAAGAATATTAAAAATACCGCAAAATGATTTTAAAAATATTCTAATAATATTCTGCTTCTCCTGCCACCCACGACCTCTTAAATAACCAATTATTAATTGAATAGAGCCTCCACGATCACAGAAAACCCCGAAGATTGCGTGCCACGAGCTCTCGACTAACGAATTCTCTCACGTTTTTTTTTCTCTTTCTTTGGTCGCCGCTTGAAAAATTCCAGGGTACAAGCTACTTGCCACAACTTCACCTTTCAGCAGATCGTAGCCAATGTTTATTAAGCGCTCAGGAGGCTGTTTCTCTCTGGGTCCTTGCCACACGTAAGGTCGGTATTCCAGGAGCGGTAAAAGAGCAGCGAAAGGCCAAAATTACGTGAAACCAAAGATTCCTCAGCGATTTTCATGCATCCGTGAATTAAGGTGTTTCGTGTGAAAAGTCAAAATAATGAGACAATTTTGAAAAATTTATGGGAGAAATATCTGAGGGTCATGAGGGTCAAAATAAGGGTTACGGAGATCAAAAGGGTCAGATTAAGGATCATAAGGGTCAGAATAAAGGTCATGAGGGTCAAAATAAGAGTTACGGAGAGCAAAATAAGGGCCAATAAGGTTGGCGTAAGGGTCATGGGAGACAATAAGGGTCACCAGGGTGAGATTAAGGGTCGCAAGGTTCACGTTAAGCGTCATGAGGGTCAGAATAAGGGTTACAGAGGTCAAAACAAGGTCCAAGTAAGGGTCATGAAAGACGGAAGGGTCACGAGGGTCAGATTGAGGGCCACAAGGGTCAGATTAAGAATCATAAGGGTCAGAATAGGGGTCATGAGGTTCGAAATAAGGGTTACGGAGATCAAAATAATGGCCAATAACGTCAGTGTAAGGGTCATGAGAGACAGAATAAGGGTCACGAGGGTCAGATTAAGGGTTGCAAGGTTCACGTTAAGCGTCATGAGGGTCAGAATAAGGGTTACAGACGTCAAAACAAGGTCCAAGTAAGGGTCATGAAAGACGGAAGGGTCACGAGGGTCAGATTGAGGGCCACAAGGGTCAGATTAAGAATCATAAGGGTCAGAATAGGGGTCATGAGGTTCGAAATAAGGGTTACGGAGATCAAAATAATGGCCAATAACGTCAGTGTAAGGGTCATGAGAGACAGAATAAGGGTCACGAGGGTCAGATTAAGGGTTGCAAGGTTCACGTTAAGCGTCATGAGGGTCAGAATAAGGGTTACAGACGTCAAAACAAGGTCCAAGTAAGGGTCATGAAAGACGGAAGGGTCACGAGGGTCAGATTGAGGCCAACAAGGTTCAGATTAAGGATCATAAGGATCAGAATAAGGGTCATGAGGTTCAAAATAAGGGTTACGGAGATCAAAATAATGGCCAATAAGGTCGATGTAAGGGTCATGAGGGTCAGATTAAGGGTTGCAAGGTTCAAGTTAAGGGTTATGAGGGTCAGAATAAGGATCACGAGGGTCAAAATAAGGTTCACGAGGTAACCCTCGTGTTAGATAAAGGATCCAAATCAGGGTTACCAGGGTGAGATTGAGGTTCACAAAGGTCAAATTAAGGGTCCAAATAAGGGTCATGAGGGCCAGAAACTAAGGGTCACCAGGGTCAAAATAAGGGTCTCAATATCTCTCTATATTATAAAAATCCAAATCGATTTCTGGTGACAAAAATTTGGGTGACAAATTTGACAAAAAAAATTAATATTCAAGAAATGCTCAAGTGCACACTGAAATCGTTGCTTGGAAATTGAAAATTTTCGTGTTCAGGGATTGAATCTGGGCTCGAGAATAATGAGGCTCCCCTTACGTTTCACCACCCCGGGGAAGTACAGACGAAACACCTTAAAACTTGTCATCAGAAAGTCTGGGAAATTTCTGATTCGAAGCCCTGATCATGAATCATTGTAGAGAATTTAGAATAACAAATATAGACAAATTTCATTAGAAATATAACTGGATAAAATATATATACTGCATACCTATACCACCTGAACCCCTAAAAACCTTTTCTCCACCTTGAAATGAAGAAATTGATGACTGAATGAGTACTTCGAAGCTCGGATTCATGACCAGGATTTTAAACCGGAAATCCTCCTGGCTTTCTGATGAGTCTAGGATGAATGCCAAAATTTGCTTTCGAGTTTTTTTTTTATTGCAGTTTATTTCACCGGAATTGCACGCAGTTTGCAGATTAATTGATTGCCTCCGTCATCCCCTCACGTTTATGAGTTCCTTTGTATCTCATAGTTTTGTACATCAGAGCTTCAATGTTCTTGAGATTTCTTAGGAAGTTCTACCAACACTTGAAGGGCCCAAAGAAGTTTTTAACAATTATTTTTACTTCCCAGTGGACGTCTTGAAATCGTTGATTGTAATAATCTTCTAATTTTAGAAATTATGATTCATTGAACTCAACATCGCCTTAATGTTGGCTGCCAACATTGAGTCAACGTTGCCTCAACATTGAGCCAACGTTGCCCCAACATTGAGTCAACGCTGACCCAACATTTAGCCAACGTTGGCAGTCGACATTACTGGAACGTTGGCAGCCAACATTGGCCCAACGTCGGTAGCCAATACCGGCCCGACATTGGCGGCCAACATTGGCCCAACGTCGGTAGCCAACGCCGGCCCGGCGTTGGCAGTTAACATTGGCCCGACGTTAGGAGCCAACATTGGCCCAGCTTCGGTAGCCAACACCGGCCCGACGTTGGCAGCTAACATTGGCCCAACGTCGGTAGCCAACACCGGGCCGACATTGGCATCCAAAATTGGCCCAACGTTAATATTTTTTACCTTTCCCTAAATATTGGTTTCAAAATAATCGACCTCGATCAAGATGGCATTGGGAAGAATATTTTAAATTTCAATTGGATTAATTTAAATTAATTATATTACTTTAAAAACAATCGGTCACACACATATCCAGACATATCCTGACACAAAAAATTGGATGTTTCAGTTTTGACGAATACAATGCTTCCATTCGGAAGAAAAATTCAAAACTTAAATTTGAACAATTAAAAAACTTATAGTCAAAGGCAAAAATCTAAGAAAATTCACATTTCGTATACGAAGAAGTTGAAAAAAAATTCTAGGCCTTTTGAATGTTGATGGCACCGTCCAAGAAACCCCAACAAAATTATATCTTTCGAGGTACCCACCATTATCAATAACTGGCGAAATCACCCCCTTAGTTCCTCAATGTGAAAATTTTGATACTTGTATTATTATTACTAGTATTACTTTTGACCAGGAAAATTAATTTTTTTTATGGATTATGTTGAGAATCACGAGCGTTGCGTCATGAGCATGAAATCAGATCTGTAGATTTTCTTTTTACAAGTCTCTGTGCGTTCTATCATTGCATCAGACAGCGTACTGTACGAGCACACGGAAGAAACAGCCTCTCTTCAATTTGTTTTTCTCATTGTGATATTTATTAATGTGATGCTTTACGCATATTATTATTATTGGTTTTTAGTTATTGTTCATGGCTTTTCGTGTTTTCAGATGATTTTCTCTCATGCTTATGTGTCTCTAATCCCTGAATGCTTAATGGAATTGTAAATTATGTTTTTTGATTGATGGAATTTTAAATTTTTTTCGTTTCGTTTTGTTGAAGATTTGAATTTTATTTGTTGAATAGAAAATTTGGAAAAGTGAAGACTGGTGAATGAGTGAAATTGATGAATTTTAATTGGTCAATTTGATGTTCTAGTCATTTATTTTTATGAATATGAAAATTGTTCTTTCAGTGATTTTCCATGGCTTTTGGTGTTTTGAGATGAATTTTTCTCAACCTTCATGTCTTGAATCCCCAGAATTCTTGATTGAATCATTAATTTTATTTTTCAATTCATGGAATTATATAATTCTTTTTTTTTCTTTTTTTTCATTTCGTTTTGTTGAAGATTTGAATTTTATTTGTTGAATAGAAAAGTTGAAGAAGTAAAAACTCCACTGCTTCCTCATTTTTCTGTTCATTTGAAATAATCTGATGGTTTTTAATTGGTCAATTTGATGTTTTATTCATTTATTTTTATTTTTATAAAAATCGTTTTTTTAGTGATTTTCCATGGCTTTTGGTGTTTTGAGATGAATTTTTCTCACGCTTCATTTCTCGAATCCCCTGAATCCAATGAATTGAAATACTTTTGTCTACAGTCTTGATCAGCATTTTAATTTCACTTCTTAAATAGAAAAATTGAGAGTGGAAAATCCTTTCCTTTCACAATTTTTTCGTCACTCAAATTAATTAAAATTAATCCAATCAGTGGATTTTAAGTAACAAAATCAATGTTCCTAGGCGATGTACCGAAGAATCGTCGAGTCAAGGAAGAAAGGAACCCTCGATCCCGAGATAACCCTTCAGTTCCTGAAATCCGCTATCTACTACTTCCTGACTGACAAGGAGAATCATCACGGCCACCTGAACGCCATTGAGAGTATCCTCGGCTTCACCGACAACGAGAAACTTCATATCGATAAGATATATCGATCAGCAAGAAAATAATCCCTCATTGTCAACCGCAAACCCATCGATTCCCTCCATTTTCAGTAATTTCAAAACAATTCTCTCAGAAAAGAGATCAATACAGCAGTCGATTTTTCCAACAAATTCACTTAAATCTCGATATCTCGAGAACCCGAAGTGATCGACGATTGAAAATGGTCTTATCAGATGCCCAGGGAAATTTCCGATTCCGAACTCTTGTCATGAACCCATTTTGCCCCATTGTTGTTTAGAAGCCAGCTAAAATACGTTTTCAACCCCTAGAGACATTTTCTCCGTAATCTCTGGAAATTGTGGGGAAAAATGGGTTCATGACCAGGGTTTGGAACCGGAAATTTCCCCGCTTTTCAATGAGCCCACCCCCACCTCCGGATCTTTTCCAGTTCCTAAGAAAATTAAAATGAAAGATGAGAAGGGAATCCCAAAAATTTAGAGAAGTGAATTTTTTCGTTTTTCCGAGGAAAAAAATAACAATTACAAAGGGTAATGAGTAATTTTGCTTGCTGTTACCCGTCTTGCCCCCCCCTGAAGTATGCTACAATGACCAGAGCTTATCAATGGACTGATTACAGGTGGAAATTGTAGGGGAATTGCTTAAACAATGGGAAAAACAGTGAAATTCCACGTTTTAAAGATTTTTGTTGTGAATGCATTTTAGTTCAATTTATTTAATTAATTGATTATAATTACACACTTCCTGCAGATGGCTCATTGCTGACTTTATTTTTTGTTATTATCGCCAATCGGCCGATTAATTATGCAGTTAATTAATCAGTCGATTGAGAAATTCCTGGATTATTTTGTTTAATTCATTTCGCGAATTAAATTTTCATGAAATTCCTAGGGATTCAGAGCCACTTCCTAATTTATTAATTGATAGTATTCAAAATGAAAATGGTCTCATCAGATGCCCAGGGAAATTTCCGATTCCGAACTCTTGTCACGAACCCATTTTGCCCCATTGTTGTTTAGAAGCCAGCAAAAAATACGTTTTCAACCCCTAGAGACATTTTCTCCGTAATCTCTGGAAATTGTGGGGCAAAATGGGTTCATGACCAGGGTTTGTAACCGGAAATTTCCCCGCTTTTCAATGAGCCCACCCCCACCTCCGGATCTTTTCCAGTTCCTGAGAAAATTAAAATGAAANTTTATTTAATTAATTGATTATAATTAAACACTTCCTACAGATGACTCATTGTTGACTTTATTTTTTGTTATCATCGGCCAATCGGTTGATTAATTATGCAGTTAATTAATCAGTCGATTGAGAAATTCCTGGATTATTTTGTTTAATTCATTTCGCGAATTAAATTTTCATGAAATTCCTAGGGATTCAGACCCACTTCGTAATTTATTAATTAATAATATTCAATCGTCTACTGGATAGTCGGATTGGCAATTATATCAGTAGAATTTTAAGTAGAATTTGTTCATCGAATTAATGCTAATTATCAGGGTTTCTGGACAATTGGAAATGAATCAAATGAGGAAAAAACGGTTTGAAAAAGTTGATTCATTATTTTTTCAATTGATGAGAAACTCTGAAAGCAGTAGAAAATTTTTAAAAATGAACTTTCGCTTTACGATGTCGTGTTTACAATTTTTCTCAACTCATCATCGATTAATTGAGAGATGCGAGGGGTGAATAAAATATCGAAATATCTTGGGTAATGATGAAAATATCGAAACTAGAGTTAAGGGGATTATTTATGAAATTCTAAGATTACTCGTGGATTTATGAAAATTCAAGATAGTTTATCGATCTTGAAGGACAACTGCTTATAGATCCTCCCTTATAGGGTAAACAGATGGAGACTGAGGGGAAATATTTTGCCTTTATATCAATGTGAATTAAATAATATAAATAAATGATGAATATTAATAAAATGTGTGAAGAAGTTGAATTAAAATTCAGTGATTGACCAAAATTATTGTTTTTATTATTGTTACATAAGATTAATTTCCATGGAATGCTTTGATTTATTGCTGATATATCATGAAAAATTATTAGTTGATTAATCAATAATTAATTAATTGATGGAAATATATTTTTCTGCGGCTTTGTTCGACATTTGAATTTCCTTTGTTGAATTCAAAAATTGAAAAAGTTAAAAATTCTCTACGATCTTATTTTTTTGTTCACTTGAAATAATTCGAAGGAATTGATTAATTCCATGTTTCATTGATTTTCTATCGTTTTTAATAATATAAATAAATGATGAAGAAAATTAAATTAAAATTCAGTGACTGAGGAAAATTATTAATATTTTCATTACTATTACATAATATTAACGTCCATTGAACTCTCTCTGATTTACTGCTCATAAATCATGGAAAATCACTGGCTGATCAATTAAAGTACCAATTAAATCAATAAATTACAAATGAAAGTTGGAATTAGCAATATAAATTACGTCGAAATTGAGTGCAATTAGCAAACGATTAATTGCAAAATAACGTAAAAACGCATGTGCCATTTTCATCAATTAAAAATGAGAATTGGGATAGGGATCAACGACTAGTAGACATTGCATTGAATTTTTTTTGCTTTTTATTCATTTTTTCTATGTCAAATAGTAATATACATTACTTCGAAATTCACTTCTTGCCAGCGAGGATGATACCGTCGTACTTCTGCTGGAACCACTTCATGGCGTCTTCCTTGGTCAGTCTGTGGGGGAAACCGACCTTGCCGGTTTTCCTTCTTCTGTGGGCAACATTGAAGCCTGAAAAGAAACATTGAATCGTCATTCACCAAATTTCATTGAAGAAAAAAAAAAAAAAAAACTATTAATGTAATATTATTATTTCAATATTATTTTATCATTATTATTTTATAAAGATTGTCATTGCAAAAATATAATTCACTAAGTTCAGACGTATTTTATTTCGCCTAATTAGTTAATTTACTTATAATTTCTTGACTGCTCTAATATTTTCAAACAGATTTTTGTCGCTCCAATTGAGTAACACACCCAGTAGATATTGTGGGCATGGGTTGCAAATATGGAGCTTTCGATCTAGCACATGTTTATTGAAAAATAAATGTAGAAAATTGTTAATGGTGACAATCCTCTACGATACCAGAAATGTGCAGAAACAATTTTTTCAGGATATTCAGTGAATATCTCTCAAATTACGAGGGCAGAGAAGGGCAAAATGAAACACAATTTAGCAAAACTCAAAAAACGAGTTTTTGTTGTTAAAGTAGTATGGTCACGGATCAATTTCCACGATTAAAATATGAAATAATTTTTTTATGAAAGTTAATATCAATAAAAACCTCCTGGTGCAATTTGTGGTACATTGATCGTTTAGTATGGTTGATAAGAATTAATGAAAAACTAGATTTTAACACAGAGTCTTATGGGCAAATCACATTTTTGGGTGGTTTTTATGATAAATGCAAGACTAAATTATTTAAAAAATACCAAAAAAATCGGGGAAAAAAACAAAAATTTACGACCATCGATGAAAATTATTGACCGGTTGGGACTTTAGTTATAAATAATTTCTGCTCCTCGGTGTTCGGAAATTGCGTGTCGAGTAGATGCGGCAACGACGCGTTAGTGGAGTGGGGTCAAGCGGGCATTTCAAATCTCGTTTTCCCTACGCTATTAAGTTACAGCGTTGCCACATATAAAAGGCTAGTCAAAGGAGGTACATTATTTGACTAATAAAGGAAAAATAATAAAAATAATCGATTAATTCTTATATTCATAAATTTTATAATTCACAAAGAGAATTTTCAATTATAAATCATAGTTTTTTGATTAATTTTTCTGGATTTTCTTGACGGACACTCAACGATCACTTTGGAGTGACCATACTACTTTAATTGAGGGCCTAGCGACTCTTAAGGATGTTGAGAATTTAGGGTAAAAAAATCTTGAATTATACTAAATAGTAAATTTCTAGTTTTTCATTTTCGGAGCCACTTTATGGAGGGAATTTAACAGAACAGCATGCAATTCCTTTTCATTGGTGTTAAAATTACTATTTTAAACCTAATTGATAATTTTGAAAGTCTTGGGGTTATTATTACTGGAATTTTTTTCCTGAAAACTCTCTCTCCAGACAAAATTCAATAATCAACAACTGATTAAAATCGAAATTATGATTGTTCAGTGGATTAATTATTTAATGGATTTAGTTACGAGAAAATGTTCTCTTCCATTCTGCCTATAAATTCATTCTCACCCGAAATATTCTCCCAATAACTAAAAATCACTCTAAAAATATTTATTCTCACCTGGACGTCCAAGAACAACGTAGAAGTCAAGACCGTAGATACCGATGCTCGGGTCGTACTTGATACCCAAGTCGATGTGTTCCTGAATACCGAAACCGAAGTTTCCAGTACCCGAGAAGTTCTCCTTCCTCAATTCGTACTCACGAACCTGAAAAAGGCCAATAAATAAATAAATGAGGTGCAGCCTTCCAGAAAAACCCTACTGAGACCTCTCATTGAATCTACAATTCAGAACTTTTTTAAATTTTTAATTAGGGTCAAATGGTCTTGAGGGTCAACCGTTTCTCAAGGACGTGCACCCTCCCTCTCTCTTTTAGCACTATTTAACTATTTAACACAATTCAGGAAACTTTTTTTGTTTGTAGTCGAAAGTCAAATGGTTTTGAGGATCATTTGACCCTCAAAGACCCTCGAACTCGTGTAGGTGTTGGTCTCCCGATTGACCACAAACTCAACCAGAATGTTTTCATTCATATTAACTGACATTTAAAATTTATTTCAAATTTTAGTCGTCAAAATTAAAGTTATGTTTATACTACTTTAAGTAAGGCGGTTTTCATGAGTGCGATCGTCTTGCGTCGAACTTTCATGAAGCCCGCCTAACAATCAAAAGAGAATTGAATATCATTCTATGAAATATGGATAAACGAATCATAATTATCCAAATCATTTAGGTCAGAGGAGAATAGAATAATTCAACTTTCTTAATATAGTTGATTAGAATTAATAGCTAGAATTATGAGATTATCTCACATTTTTGACGTTAAGGATAGGAGAATCTGAATGCAATATAGTGAAAATGATGATCGATTTTTTCACTTTGAACAAATAATATTAATATCCAAATACAAAATTTCTGATATGAATAAAAAGAAGCTGTCACTCAATATTCCAAATGAAGTTTCAATTTTTAATTTGGTGCTGAAAACACGAGACGACAACATTCTAAGCACGAAATTATATTGATGAGATGAACAACAGATTAATTGAATTACCGTGTGAACTAACTAAAAATTGATAACAGTGTGGGCACGCACTTTTACCGAATATCAACAAACATTGAATACCAGAAATTCACACTCTAAAGTGTGTTCTAGAAGGAATTGAATTGTAATTATGATTAAAATTTTATTCAGTGAGCATATGAATTAGAACATGAGCAAATCATTCATTGTAATATGAAAATTTAACAGCTGATAAATTGGGATACACGATTTTCCTCGGTCGTATTGCTTTTTGCAGTGAGAACGATTATAAATCGTCATTTGAAAAAAGGAATATCGAATCTGACAGGAAAAGGGCATCAATAGGAGTGGCTAGTATTACTTTAATTTACCTTGAGCCCACGCTCGAGAATTTCCTCGGCCTTGGCACCACGCACTGTGCAGTGGACGGCGATTTTTTCGTTACGACGAATACCGAATGATCGGACAGTGTAACGTGCCTTCGAGAAGACTGGCTGCTGTCCAGTCAACTGCTCGAGCACCTTGGCAGCACGTGTCAGCCTGTCACCAGACTCACCGACGCAAATGTTCAGGCACAATTTGCGAATTCTCACTTCACGCATCACGTTCTTGGCGGCATCTTTGGGTTCTCTCTTCGTTTTGTTCTTCTTTGCGACTTGCTTAGCCGGGGCTGCCGCCTTTGCGTCCTGCAGGGAGGAAATTTAAGAGTATTAATTTTGGAGTGGAGAAGGTGCTGTCGGGCGCACGAGGATTTTGGTGATGGGGAAATGTTTTTGAATAATTTAAAAATTAAAAAGGGCTGACCACATTTCAGGGAAAGAAGAATTGAACGAATCTTTGTCTTTAACAGTCGATATCTCCTGATCAAATGGTTCGATTTTGATTTGTCACGACTCATTTTCAAGATTGAAAAAATATCTTGAGAATGAAAGAAAAATAGGGGAATTCCATTCTGCCAATCTCGAATTATTCGTGGTTAAAGACGATCCTTTTTAATTCTTTTCCCTAAGTTGAATTCAAGAGGTTTAATTGTTGATTACCAATTATCTCGGTAATAAACGACTCTAGACAAAAATGTCATTGAACATTTTTTTTAGAAAATTCAATTCTCTATAAAAAATATTCTGGGGCATTTTTACCTAAAACCAAGCATTAACGAGATAATTGAAGAAATAGTAAATGACGAAATCTCTGAAGACCAAAATAAGATCAAAATAAGTTTTTTGCAATCGTAAATTGTTCGATTATCTCACTAATCAGTAATTTTGGGGCAAAATGTCATGGAACATTTTTTATAGAGAATTAAATTTTCCACAAAAATGCCCTATGAGTTTTTCCTCTAAAAACACCCATTATCCAGATAATTTGATCTTTATTCAAACAAGAAACATCAAGTCGTTCTGTTCTCTCCTGTCACGTTTTACCACTTCACTATTTTATTTTATTAATCAATTCTTGATCATTTGAAATTGTTTGTGAGGTGAAAAAAAAGAATTGAGGAGTGAAGACTCCAGACATGATACATCAACAATTTTTTCAACTTCTCATAATTTTCCTTAAACAATATAAGTTCTTGAAGCCCATCGAATGCAATTCGAACGTTTTTACATTAACAAACAAAATTTTCAACTAAACAAACTCATTGTTAACTCGGAGGTTATTCCCTCCATGCGTGGAAAAACAGGAAACCGTAACCTCCAACACCTGTCATTAATCCCCGATTTTTCAACATTTTTCAAGCCACAAAGTCACAAATATTGTCACAGAACAATAAACCAACAATCGAATTTCAACATCAGCTATTTAGTTTTCATTTATTTACGGGGATTGTCTGGATTTTGACGGATTTATTTTTGTTTCATTTAATAGACGTACACTCACCGCCATCGTGGAGAGAAAAGGAAATCCTCCGCTGCGCGACCTATCGAAAAAACGGGACAACTACAGGCTTGTGGGTGAAACCCCATTGGTGGATATTTCAGCCAATCAAATGTGTTCATTCAAATTTTGGAAATTTTCAACTCTGTTGGTGGTGACCCCTGCCGCTATTATAAGCTACTAATTTTTTTAAATAATTTTAGGATCGAAAAATTGAACACAAAACATTTTTTAGCTATTTTCAAGTATTTTTTGTTTTTCATCAGTTTTTATGTATTTTTTTATTGTTTAATTTTTTTTACAATTCAGGCAATGAAAAGTTTAAATTAAACTGTTTAATAGCAAAATATATCTCAGAATTGTCATGTTCAAATTATTTTTTACTTGAAATGAAACAAGGGGATAGTTGTATTTTTTTTATAAATGAGTATAGTTACTGTTGCGAATAAATTAGCAATTTGCTTCCGAATGAGTTCTCTTTGTTTAAATTTTTATTTCACTATTATCTTCTTCTATTTTTTCATGTCATAGTACTATCATCAATCGAAATATCCTCAAAATTTTGCGTATTATTTCGTTCTGTCAAATACTTCTACATTCAGACCCTCTCAAGACTCGAATTCGTTTTCAGTCCGGGTTTAATCAAGGTTCAATCAAGGTTTTAATCAGTGTATAGCCGGAATTTAATCAGGGTTTATTCAGAATTTAGCCAGAGTTTAACCCAGGTTCTGTCAGAAGTTAGTCGGGAGCATGAATCAATATGAATAAGTATTCAACATAATAGACTGCTGCCTGAGTTTAATAGAGATAGAGATTTCGATATAAAAAGCTCATGACGGTATTGTGTAACTTGATAAGCAATGATGCTGTTCTCATAATTTTTCAACTTGATTAAGAAGCCATTGAAATATACTTTTCAAGCCCTGATTTAATTGCTTTTACTGATGATTCTATCAGTAATCATGAAAAAACCGATTTTCTCTTTTAACTCGCATAAACAATGTGCTGTAACTCAACAACCAATTGTGCGACCCCCATCATATTCTGATAGAATCAAGAGTGTATTGTTATCAATTTTTTGAGCCTCGACTAACTCCATTTTGATGACAATTTTTTGAGTGATCGTAGATTCCATTCGGAAGCAGAAAAAATGACAAAAAATTAATGGTTTTGATATTTACTGGAATAATGGGGCAAAGTGAGTTATAATCATTACTTTCATTTTTTTATAATTGGAAAGATTTCATAATCAAGTGAATGCGTGGCGAATTGATTTGTTTAATGACTCAATGGATTTATTTATCTCGCCCCATTCGTTCTGAATTGGTAAATAAACAGTTTGTGGGCGCCCTGTATTTACTTTATTGAATTGAATTGAAGTGAAGACGCTCTCGTGACCGTAGCGCGAGCACTCGACGGGGGAGAGTGAGTGGGTCAGTACGGAACGTAAGAGATGCTTGTGAAACCCTCTTGGTCTCCGGAGATGTGCAAGCATCATCCCAGGTACATTAATGCACATGAAGATCCGGTGGAGAATCTCGCCAACGTCAAATGGACAATTACTGAACCCAATGAACTTGAGAGATCCCAACTCTTTTCGAAAGACAATTCAATCAAAGTAGCTCTAGCCTTTCGACGGGTTGCGCGCTTGGAGATGCAAAATGAATCTCATTTTTTAGATCGCGTCATAGGACCAAACAAGTGGTAAATTGCTTTCGTCACGATATAGTTAGTATATTTTTGCTAATAAATTAGAAAATTTTGCTCTGAATGGAATTTCTACGATGATGTATTTTAAATTGAAATCAACGTTGTCCCAACATTGTCTCAACGTTGGTTACCAACGTCGGGGCAATGTTGGTGGCCAACGTTGGGACAATGTTGGCTACCAATGTCGGAACAATGCTGGCTACCAGCATTGAAGTAATGTCGGCTGTTAGCACTGAGGCAATTTTCGCTACTAACGTTGGGGCAATGCTGGCCATCAACGTTGGGGCAATGTTGGCTACCCACGTTGGGACAATGTTGGCTACCAACGTTATGACAATGTTGGTTGTCAGCTTCAGGCAATATTGAATGCCAATGTTGGGACAATGTTGGCAGTCAACATTGAGGCAATTTTGGCTGCCAATGCTAGGACAATGTTGGCTACCAACGCCGGACCAACGTTGGCTACCAACGTCGGGCCAGCGTCGGCTACCAGCATCGGGCCAACGTTGGTTGCCAACATCGGACCAACGTCGGCTACCAACGTCGGGCCAACGTTGGCTACTAGCGTACAGCCAACGTTCACTACCAACGTCAGCTACCAACGTCGTGTCAATGTTGGTTGCCAACATTGGGGCAATGTTGAATTCCATGAATACCTGAATTCAATTTAAAACATATCTTCATAGAAATTCCATTTGAAAGTAAATTGCCAATTCATTATCAAAAATATATTGCCCATGTTGTGAGAAAAACAATTTCCCCCCTGTTTCGCGCACAATTGCTTCACACAACCCAATAAATCGAAAACTAGAATTCGAAGCAAAAGCTTCCGTCTCCTCTGCATTCCAGCATTAAAACTCCCCTCATTCTCCCCTACAGTTCATTTCGCGACAATAAATTTACAAAATCTGCCTAAAAAAATTGATCAACAGTATCGATATCAACAATTGATCACTAAAATTAATGCCGTCGACCGCACGAAATGAACATTGCCAAATTCCAATTGTTGGACTGTTATCCCTCCATCCGACAATCTCGTGGATGTTGTCCCCAACAGAGGAAGACTAACAATGAGAAAAAAAAGGATTTTGTGTATATTTTGCAGCGGTCGGTGAAGAGGAATTGGCAGCGGGGCGGGGGAGGGGGCGGGCGGGAGGGCCGAGGGGGAGGAGGGGGTTGAGGAGGGGGACTGGGGAGTTATACAGAAAACGTTGTTGGGGCTCAAAGTAAAGGTAGGAGAGAACGTGCCTCCGCCAGTATCCACGTGTTCAGTGGTAGTAGCGCGTTATGACCCGGATGTTAGATTGCAGCTGCAAGTTTTCGCGTGTACCTGCCGACCCGGATGTAACATTGCTATTGAATTATTTTTTATAATAATTGATAATTAGTGTTACAAGGTATTACTAATGTCATCGCACTGGATAACAAAATATGTTCAATCGGTAAGTAAATGATTAATTAATCAACGAGAGGGTCAATTTTTTTGGGGGGAAATTTTGGAAATTTTTGACATGGGGAGCTGGGGATGTTTCCGATTCGAAACACTGGTCACGAACCCATTTTGCCCCAGTAGATCGGGGGATGCAGGAAAAAACTTTTGCGATTATGGAAATTTGAGTTTTTAATTGTTAAAGAATGAGCGGGGCAAAATGGGTTCATGATCAGCGGTTGGAATCGGAAATTTTCCGGGCTTTTTAAGGGTGGGGGTGAAATTTTTTTTGACCTCTCAGGTTTCACTTTTGAATTTTTGAATTTCCCGCGGAAACGGATTTTTTAAAATGAACGGCGGATGAAAATTGAGGAAAATCACTGGATGGAGGATTATGCGCTGTGTTGATTCCACCTCAAGGTCAGAGTGCGGGAGGGGGGTGGGAGAGGTGAAAATTATGGGGAAACAGTAAATGAGAGGAATATATCGATGATATATCGATAATGTTGATGTGATTGGATATTGGAAAAATGTGTTATCAATTGTGTACGTAAAATACCGTGTGACTTGAAGGATAGATGCGAGCAAATCGACGAAAGGTGCGAGCAAACTACGAAGGGACCTGATAAACGCGGAAATAGCGAATTTACGTGATCTACTGCCACTGCCACCGTCAACACGACAGAGACTGTCGCAGCTACAGCTAATGGCATTAGTATGTGTTTTTCTGCGTAAAGCTAATTATTTTCAGCAAGGTAAGCAGTCACAACAATTTGTTAATTGAAAAAAAAATTTTTTTTTCAATTAAATTAATGCAAAATTAAAATTCAAATAATTTTTTTTTTAATTTTGACTCATGCATAATATACATTGATTATTATTATTAATAATCATTATTAACAATTTCTGAAATTTTCGGCCTATATTTTTTTTTATTTTTCATACACTCGAAAAAAAATTGGATATTTATTTTTTATGTCGCTTGTTCCATTGCCCCAACAACAAAGTCATAAATAATAGCAACATCAATTCAACACGTGATTTTATATTTTTTATTTTCATTGAAAAATGGGAAAAACGAAAAACTGTAAAAAAAAGTTTTTTATTTTGCATTTAAATTGGCTGAATAATTTTTTTATGTTCGGATGCGACTGTGTCTGATACTGATAAGAAGACAACAATTATCAACAATTTCTGAAATTTCTTAGCTTAAATTTTTGTGTTTTTTTCTAAAATTCGAGGAAAAAACGCGGAAACGCATTTTTTATGAGCGTTGTCCTATCATCCCGGAACGGAATCATAAACTACGAGTATCGATTCAACACAAGTCTATTTTCCCAATTTCCAAAACAAATCGGCACAACAAAAAAAATTTTTTTTTGTTTTTTTGCGTTTAAATTAACTGAATATTTTTTTATAATTTAGAATTTCATTTAGAATTTCGATATTGAAATTGCTCTTGTATTGCATATAGTATAATTTCTGCTCATAAATTAGCAATATGCTTCCGAATGGTTATTTTGCACATCATTTCCTTCTACCATGTATAATTCATTGTTTATTTCATTTTATTAAATTGAATAAGATTTCTTTTCAACTAATTTTGTCAGATTTTCAACTCAGTTGAATGTTATCATCATCATTATTCTTATTATCCCTTTCTTCTGTACAACCGATTGTCTTTTTTACGGTTCTATCTCTCCCCTCAGCCCTCCGATAAAATGTTAATAGAACAATTTTATTTCTACATACTTGAATGAATTTGAAACATCACATTTGAAGAAACCATCAGAAAGCTCACTTTCAGGGAAATTCATGAAAAATTCGAAATTTTCAACAATCATCATAAAAATCAAATCAACCAATATAGCTATCGCAATCATCTTTTAACTTGGACTTAATGGCATTAAAACAAACATTTTAAGCTATGATTGAATTCATTTGAAGCATGATATTCGAAGATATCCCCGGAATTCTGATTTTCAAAAAATACAAAATTTTTGCAAATTTTCAAATAAATCAAAATAACGATTATTGCGATCGCATTCATCTTCGAACTCGGTCAAAAGGACATCCAAACAAATTTTTTAAGCCATCATTCAATCAATTCAGAACATTATTTTAGTTATCGTGGAACAAACAATTTTCGAAGATATTCGAAAATTTAAAAAACTAAGTGATGAATTGAATTTTAATTAATGGCGATTGATAGGGCTCGACAATACTTGCATTTGAAAAAAAAGATTCAATTCCATCCATTCATTAGCGAACAATTGAAGAAAAACTTTGTCCGAAAATTGCATTTTTGGACTTTTTGGATCATCCTGTGTCGACATAACGCAAAAAATCAAAAACTTAAATTTTAACGATTACAAAGCTTCCATGCGGAAGCAAAAAAAAATAAAAAAATTTCTTTCGAAGGAAGATTGATGAAACAATTAAAAAATTGCAATATTAAAGATTACCATCATTTTTTATAAATAATTTATGAATAATCAGTTTTCCACCACAAAAGTCATCTGTTCGGAATCGTAACAAATTTGTTCATGTTCATAATTTTACCGGAAGTCGATTCCATGCCTAAAAAAATGAGGTTTCCGAAAGTTTAAATAATTTCAATCATTTTATTTATAAACAACAAATGTTTAAAAAATTGATGATTGAAAATGGTTGAATCTGGGCTGTGGTCTCTACCAAACTGTAAACGATACTTGGATATCCTTAAATTTTTCATGTCTTTCGTTATCTAAAATTCGGAATAAAAAACGAAAATTCATTTTTTATGTCGATTGTCCTGTCGTCCTGGCACATAATCACAACCTGCGAACATCAATTCAACACGAGTTTCAATTTTTTTCATTTCCATAAAAAGTACACTGAGAGAAAAACGACAAAGTTCTCAAATAAGTCTTGCTTGTCCCAAGAAAATAGTTTTTTGAAAATCATCAAAACAGGATTTTTTGTGCCAAACATGCAGAGAGTGCGCTGGAATGAAAAATTTTTGTCGGAAAAATAGATTTAGTAGTTGAAAAAAAACTGCATTCTCTGTACACGCAAGAAATGTCATTTCCAGCACTACTCCTTCGTTATTCGACACTCCCATACGTATTTTGCTCCCGAAAAATCTTTGTTTTAAGCGAAACAAGGAATAGTAGTTGTTCGTTTCGGCTGTCTAATAATCACAGACAAGAAATGAACCCTTAAATGAAACAATAATAATGATATGATAGCAAACTTGTAACTTAGGGATAAAATATTTGTTCATAAATTTTCCTCTCTATGAGATATTGTCATCCTGAATATACATCGTCTGGTGTGAATTATCCGCCTCTTGAGCCAAATATTTCGTTGCTGTCGAAAGCAGAACAATTATTCATGTTTGAGACTTTCCAATTCGAACCAAACAAATTCTTTTTCGGCAATTTTCAACTAGCCATTTTGTTGGCCTAAACAAGACTTGTTTGACAACGTGTTTGTTTTTCTCTCAGTATATGGAAAACCAAAAATAGAATTTTTTTTTTAATTTTCCGGCGTTTAAATTCACTGAATAATTTTATTTTCACGTTTGGATGCGATTGTGCCTGACACTAATAACAAGGCACCGTGAAAAAAATTAGAAAAAATGAGTAAATGATCAGTGAGGCGGGGGAGGGCGGAGGGGCGGGGGTGCCAGGGGGGGGCGGAGAGGGGAGGCGAGGAGACTGCATAATATCCGTCGTTTCGTTCTGATATGCAAGATGTAATGGTAAAGCGAAGCGGGCAAGGAGTCGGCGTTAGTACTTTGAAATTACCGACATTCCACCGAGGAACGTCTTTCCAAGATCCCGAACCCCGGGACCTCCCGGCAACGGTCGCGGTCGCGTCTCTCCGCGGTGCTCGACCCTTGCCAACTCATTTTTTTTTTGCTCTGCCAATTCGTCTTCCGTTTTTTTCAGGGAATATTGCCGTTGACAAATCCACAATTTTTATGGCGGCACTGAGCAGCCGGGGAAATTTCAGCTGAGACAGTGTGACGAGCAATTTTGCCCCATTAGTTCAAAAGTTACTGCAATTTTGCGGTTTTTTTCTGCGAAAAATTTTTTTGGAAAAATTTTCCTTCATTTTCATTTTATTGACTGATTTTTTATTAATTTGAAATCAAATTATATTACATTTTTTTACGGTAAAAAGTTGACGGGAAAATTCATGAATAAGAAACAAATAATTTTAATAATAATAATTACAAGTTTTAGGAAACTTTTCCCTCAATTGTTCATTTTAATCTAATTTTTTAATTTTTCTTACATTAAAGTAACAATTTTAAGGAGCAAATCCCTGAAGAAAATAAAATTAATTACGACAAAATTTTTTTTGAAAATTTTGAAAAATTTTTGCAGAAATAATTTTGAAAATAAAAATCTTGGAAATCTTTTGAATCGAAAACCTTTTTTTTGAAGAAAATTTACTTGATTATTATTTCCAACCGAAAAATTTTCATTTCGAAAAAAAATCAATTTGATCTAATTTTAAAATCAAAATTGAATTTCCTTCAATTTTTTCATGATTTTTTTTCGCTGGCACTTGGAAAATAACGGGGCAAAATGGGTGTGTGACTGGAGTTCTCAATTTGAAATTTCACCCCCACACTCACCCCTCAATCAAAAAGTTACAGCATTTTTTGTTCAAAATTATTTTTGCAGAAAAAAAAATGTTAAGAAATTTTTCCCTTAATTTTCAATTTTAATTTGATTTTTTTATTGATTTAAAAGTCAAATACAAAATTTAAGGCGAAAATCTCTAAAATGAAAAAAAATGACTGAAAAAAAAATCATTGCAATTTTTTTCTCCCAAAAAACGTTCATTTTAAACAAAAAAATTACTTGAAAATTTTTTTCTGGACCTCTCTAAAAAGGGGGACAAAATGGGTACGTGACAAGAATTAGAAATTAAAATTTCCCCCCGCCCCCAGCCCTTAATCAAAAAGTCACATTTTTTTTCAAAAATAATTTTTTTGTCACAAAAATGATAAACTTTTACTAATTTTTTTTGTTAAAAAAATTATTAAAAGTTTTTTTGTCCTCTACAAATAACGGGGCAAAATGGGCACCCGACAATACTTTTCAATCTAAAAGCCCCCCCCGCCCTCCCCCTTAAAATCAATTTTCCCAAATTTGCGGGCAAATTTTGTCGACTGATAAAGCCCCCGCAAAAAATAATTGACAAAAAAATGAAGGATAAAATGAAAAAAAGAATGATACCATTAAAATAAATGCAAGTACATCGGTTAAAAAAGAGGGGAACGCCGTTGGCTGTTGGAGCAAAATCCGCACGAGTATAAGTCTAAGCGCGAGTTCCGGGTGATCCGCTGACCTCTCGGCCTCTGCAACAACACTCTCACGCTCCTGTAACCCATACTCCCCCTACGGGGCGCCCTCCTCGCTCCCTCGTGCCTCCTCTCACCTCACCGCATCACCCCAATCTCCATCTCCCATGTCCTCTCCCCCTCCCCCCAGCCCTCCCACCCGCCCTCTTTCTCTCCTCATCTCTCTCGCATTGGTCTTTTTCTCCTGATTCCTCTGGGCCCTCTCTCGTTGTTTTCTATTTCTCCTTATCCTACCTTTTGCCTTCGCCTTTACTCCCGTACAGAGCAGAACAGAACAGAACAGAAACTGTGTGGGAGAGGGCGAGGGAGGGAGAGGGGGGGGGGGACCACCGTGTACCCGGTTCCCTCTAGCCTCGTATGGTACTATGTACGAGATACATTCGCGAAAGACCCTATGTACAATTTTGTTATCATAAGAAAGTTAATCCGAAAAAAAAAAATGAAAAATGTTTGAGAGGAGGACTTTTTTAGATAGGAGGATTTGCATGTTTATGAAAAAGTTTGAGTCGAAAAAATTGTCTGGTTCGACTTGAACAATCCCTGAATGCAGATTTTTAAAGTTTATGGCAGTGCAAGAACTCAGGAGAAATCGATAAATTTTTGTTATGCTGCAATCACTGAAATATTTTATCTGCTTTCAGCCTTGAAGAATAGTTCCTCGGAGTCGAATATACCGACGCCAAATATTGGATTTTCAAAAGTAAGAATTCATCACTGAAGATATAAATTTTTTTTTTTTGGGCTGGAAATGGAGAAAAATATAACTGTTCGGAAAGTTTTACTTTACGGCCGCTTTTCAGGACGTAAATAGAACTTTACGTACTGGGCTGTAATAGTACAACTCGCCCTCGGCTCATCCTGTAATCTCATATTCACCAGAAAAGTTTCTTATAGTCTAGTGTGGAAATGTACTATTTCATCACAAGGCCGAAAACAGATTTTTGTCATTCCGGCCGTGAGGCAGCGCTTCACGGACGCTCCGCTCCGCTCCGCGTCCGTGAATCTCTGCCTACGGCCGTCATAACAAAAAATACTGTTCGTCATATGGCCAAAAAAAACTTTTCTAGCTCATATGATTGAACTCATATTCGCCAGAAAAGTTTCTTTCGGCCTAGTGACGAAATATACTATTTCTAAAAACCCGTACGGAAATAGTATATTATGTCATTAGGCGATAAAAGTATTATCTGGCGAATGTGGCTTTATAATGCTTTTATCGCCGTGTGATATACGCTATTTTATGTCGTTGGGCCCGAAAACCCACCCAAGGGAGAATCGCGGTTTATCGGGCCTAATGACATAAAGTTGTTTTCTGTACTGACCTTCACTTTTCCCAGTCCGGAGATTGGCGGGTATTGGCTCTTTCCCGAACTGGCAAAAGTGAAAGTTACTACGGAAAAATATCGTTCGCGCCTCGACGCGAAATATGCTATTTCTTCACAATGTCCATAAACGACGTTTTACGGACACTGTGATGAGAATACAACTTTACGTGCCTACTTTTTGTCTACGGCCGTTATGACAAAAAATATCGTTCGTTACTTGGCCGAAAAAACTTCTCTAGTTCATATGATTCATATTCTCATACTCGCCAAAAAAGTTTTTTTCAGCCTAGTGACGAAAAATACGATCAATGGTCCAAACCGGAGTTGTGAAATTTGTACATTCGAGAGACTTATATGAGCAATAACAATTTCTTCCTCTGTCTCTTTGAAAAGTGTCATATTCGCCGGCAAAATTTTATTCGCCACTGTGACGAAATGGTATATTGTGTTACTAGTGCGTAAACTGCTACTTTTTCGTACGCACGTGTAACACATTTTTTTGTGATACCTGTCAAGTTCACTGTTCGGAACGGCAGCGGGGGTAAAATGGTTGTTTTTGTACGCAAGTGCGTAAAGATCCAGAGCGTGCGGAAAACAACCGCTTTACGCACACTAAACCTTTCAGGCAGATATCACAAAATATTATATTTCTATATGAGTACGTAAAAGTGTTTTTTGACCCGTGGGAGGTGAGGAGCGCTCGCCGAAGGCGAGTGTTACCCTCCCAAATGTCAAAGAACACTTTTTCCACGAGTGTCGAACCCTTTTTTTCGTCACAGGGTGTTGAAAGTGGGATTTTGCGCTCACGGAGGGTCCGTCGAATTTCACTTTACGCACTAGTGATGGAAAATAGTATACCAACTCGTCAGGCAAAATACCATTACGGCCCTGTGGCGAAAATAAACATTTTTGAAAAGGTGTGAAGAGAGCTTTTCTCTACACTCTCGTAAAAAGTACAACTTTACGTCCTGATTCGAAAAATACAATTTTCTAGCCCAAACAAAAGTTGTTAATCGATACTTTCGAGGCATTGGTCTGATAAACAACAATTTTTTCCCACATGTCTATGAAAATAGTCATTTCACGGCTGCTCCTCAGGACGAAAAATCAAACTTCATGTCCTCTGAGTAAAAAATTGTTTTAAAGCACTTGAGAGGTGTGAATCAATTTAAAAAATATTTTTAAAACAAATTGATGTTAATATTTTAAAAAAACAAAAAAAAACAAAATTTTTTAAACAAAAAAAAATTTAAAAAAAAATTTTTTTTTTTTTTTCATTGGAATATCATTTTTATTTTCATTTTCAGGCCATGTCTGGGTTCATAATGATGATGACACAGCAGGGTAAATTACTGTACATATCAGAGAATGCTGCCGAGTACCTGGGACACTCCATGGAGGATCTCTTGATTCATGGTGACAGTGTATACGATGTTATTGACAAACAGGATCACATGGTTGTGCAGAATCAGCTGGCGAGGAGTGGTCCGATGTCCAGCAATGATCGTAGATTATTCCTGTGTAGAATTAATGTATCTCGTAATTCACGTAGACAATTGCGATTTGGTGACCAAAAGGTAATTTCAGAGTTTAAAAATAAAACCCCAACCACAACCCCAACATGACGACCCATTCGCTATGAAAAAATTGCTTTTTTCACACCCTTTCTGACAAAAAGGATGAGCAATGGCGGATATCTCGAACGACTGGGGAAAGTAAGGCGGTTTTCATGAGTACAATCGTCTCGCGTCGAATTTTCATGAAGCCCGCCTAACAAACAAAAGAGAATTGAATACCATTCTATGAAACATGAATAAACGAATCATAATTGTCCAAATCATTTAGGTCAGAGGAAAATAGAATAATTCTACTTTCTTAATATTGCGTTTACTAAGGTTTTCTTCGAACAAAGTTGATTAGAATTAATAGCTAGAATTATGAGATTATCTCACATTTTTGACGTTAAGGATAGGAGAATCTGAATGCAATATAGTGAAAATGATGATCGATTTTTTCACTTTGAACAAATAATATTAATATCCAAATACAAAATTTCTGATATGAATAAAAAAAAGCTATCACTCAATATTCCAAATGAAGTTTTAATTTTTAATTTGGTGCTGAAAACACGAGATGACAATATTCTAAGCACGGAATTATATTGATGAGATGAACAACAGATTAATTGAATTACCGTGTGAACTAACTAAAAATTGATAACAGTGTGGCCACGCACTTTTACCAGAGTATCAACAAACATTGAATTCCAGAAATTCACACTCTAAAGTGTGTTCTAGAAGGAATTTAATGGTAATTATGATCAAAATCTTATTCAGTGAGAGGATAGGAATTAGAACACGAACAAATCATTTATCGTAATATGAAAATTTAACAGCTGATAAATTGGGACATGATGCTCACCGGTCGTATTGGTTTCTGAAATAACAATGATTATAAACAATTAATTGAAAAATAATTAATCTTTTTAAGCAATGGGGTAAAGTGGGTCCGTAATCAGTGTTTTCAATCGGAATTTGCCCCGGGCATTAATGGAGTCAACGAAAAAAAAAAAAAAATCCGTGAAAAGTAAAATTTTTACTTTAACAAATTGATTGATTTTTCAGGTTGTGTTAGTCGAAGGTCATTATCTCCCCTTCGTCCCCTTATGTAATCGTAACGAAGCAGTATTCCTGGCCTCCTGCACTCCCGTTGTCCTCCCCGAGACGCGCGAGAGTGTTGTACAAGGGGCAACAAACATATTCACGACAATTCACTCGATGGACATGAAATATCTTCACATCGATAAAACGTAATTCTCGGGGGATTTTTATCACATTCATTCTTATCTCAAGTGTTCACTCGATTCAACAGGGAGAGAGGGCCCTTTTATTCTCGAGCCTGTGACAAAAGAAAATGGCGCTCGTAGTCTAAGAGCTTTTCACTTACTTCTATTATTATTATTTTTTCTCTTCAGGGAATTGATTTTTCTATTAACAATTGATTTTCATAGTATTAATTTCTGTTTCACTGCTTCAACATTTTTATTATATTCCCTCAGCAATTTATATTTATTAAATAATTATTATTTTCAATTTTTCGCCCATTTTTTTTTCGTTTTATTTGCCATCTATTTAAAAAAAAAAATTTTAATGCTTTATTTTTTAAATTTATTGATGATATTTTTTCAATTTTTTGTTTTGTCTTCTATCTATTTTTTAAAACATCTTTTTAACGCTTCATTGTTATTTTGATTTATTTTTTTTTAATTTTTTCGTTGTTTTTTTTTTTTCATGTTTTATCTTCATTTTTTTATTTTTAGGGCTGAGAGCCACTTGGAGTACAGTAGGTCTGAGCTCGTAGGTGTCTCGTGGTACAATCTACTCCACTGGGACTGCATTAGAACTGCTTACTGCAAGCATCAAAGTGGTAATTAAGGGGGGGAAGACGGGCCGGGGGAGGGGGGTTAATGGAGTGGAATGGAGTGATAAGACGATCGAGCCCTTTTTTTATGGGTTTCTAATGGAGCCAAAGGATTTCCATTCATTGTTCCTTTTTTCGGAGAACAGAAATTTTTTTAATGAAAAAAAAATCAAGTTTTTGATGCAATTGGTTTCAGTAATTCAATCCGACCAAGATCGGACGAGCACAGCCCTGCTGAGACTCCAGAGCAGTTCAGGACGTTGGTTCTGGATCCACTGTGTCCTCCAGGTGAAGGAGACCTCGGAGGAGTGCCAGCACCCGATAATCGTCTGTACAAATCAAGTATTAAGGTGATAAAAATTGTTAATATGCCCAGGGTATTTTTGAAGAGACAACGTTTGTGAAATGCCATATTGAATAGTATTTACGAGATTGTTTCCTGGTAGAAACTAAGAATTCCAAAATCTAGGCATTTTATCTAGAGATGTAACATGACTGTCATTTTTTCGATGGAATTTCTAGGACGATGTATTTTAAATTGAATTCATGATTCATTGAATTCAACATTGTCTCAACGTTGGCAACAATTATTACCATAATGTTGGTAGCCAACACTGTCCCAACGTCGGCAGTCAACATTGCCCCAATGTTGCCAACCAACATTATCCCAACCTTGGTAGTCAACATTACCCCAATGTTTCCAACCAACATTACCCCCATGTTGCAAGCCAATATTGCCAGCCAACATTGTCCCGATATTGCCAGCCAATATTGCCCCAATGTTGCCAGCCAACATTACTTTAATGTTGTCAGTCAACATTACCTTAATGCTGTCTGCCAAAAATACCTTGATGTGGTCAGCCAACATTACTCCAACGTTAAAAAATCAATGACAAAACATTAAAAATTTCGATTTTGATGAATACGGCGCCCCCATGCGGAAGCAAAAACAATGATTTTCTAAACTGAAATGAAGTAAGGGAGGCGCAGCCCCCTGTGCTACAGAGTGAAGTGACCCGGGGGCGAAGCCCCCTCAGGGTTGTACTCCACATCCTTCAAAATCTGTAAATGTCATTCAAAAAACTCCCAAAAACCATGGCCATAAAATTCCATCCCCCGAACATTCCACTGAACTTCCCAAAGTTGTAACCCACCACAGCAACACGAAATTCCTCTCTCGGTTATGGTCATGCCTCGCCCCTCCTCCTGCCGCCACCTCACTAACTGTTAACACAATTACAGTGACAAGGAAGCGGAGGTGATGCGTTCGAGTACATGGCTGTATAACTACTCATCCCAATCGAAGTTCACCTACGGGATTTGTCCATCAACAGCGCCCCAACAGTCCCACGGTCTCCAGTACCCGGAGACATATCCCCGTCCTGTTTTAATGCAGCCACTGAACACCTCAGAGTCATCCCCGGGCTCGTACGACGCCGATTATCCAGCCCCAAGTGTCGTTAAAGTGGCCACTGGCCCGGAGGACATTGAACCTGTTGACATGTCCATCAACAGTGGTGATCACGAGGGAAGGCATCTTTATCAAATGGGGCATCATCCGAGTCATCATCATCATCATCATCATCAGCAGCAGCAGCAGCAACATCAGGGGCATCATTCGCAGCAGCATGGGAGGGTCATGCAGAAATCTGGAGGGTATAGGTTAGTGTTGATTTGATGGAAGTAGGGGAATCCCAGTATTTCCCTTGCCCCTCCAAAACTAGGGATATTTCATACTTTTTTTTAGAATTGAGGAGTCGAGCGAATGAAGTCAATTACAAGAATAAAAAGAGATTAATCACTGAGAATTTTAAATTTATCATTTTTTACGGATTTGACAAATTAAAAAACACCGATTCGAAGAGTTTTACTCGGGATTCAGGCATAATTGGGCAGTGAATGATGGAATGAAAAGTGGAAAAACAAGTGGGAAATTGCCTGCGTTATAACATAAGCAATATGTTGTTGATATAATAATTTAGCAATTTACTTTTGAATGGACTTTCTGTGGCTATCTATTTTACATTGTCCCAACGTTGGCAGCCAATATTGCCCCAATGTTGGCGGCCAATAGTGTGCCAACTTTGACAACCAACATTGCCCCAACCTTGGCAGCCAACATCGTTCCAACGTTGGCAGCCAACATTTCCCCAACTTTGACCACCAATATTGTTCCAATGTTAGCAGTCAACATTGTTACGACATTGGCAGTCAACGTTTTACCAGTGTTGACAGCCAACATTTTCCCCATGTTGGCAGCCAACATTGCCCCAACCTTGGCCATAAACATCGTCTCAACGTCGGTAGCCAACATTTCCCCAACTTTGGCTGTCAACATTATCCCAACGTTGGCAGCCAACATTCCCCCAACTTTGACAGCCAATTTTGTTCCAACGTTGGCAGCCAACATTTTCCCAGCCTTGGCAGCCAACATCGTCTCAACGCTGGCAGCCAACATTTCCCCAACGTTGGCCGTCAACATTATCCCAACGTTGGCAGCCAACATTTCCCCAACTTTGGCCGTCAACATTATCCCAACGTTGGCAGCCAACATTTCCCCAACTTTGACAACCAATATTGTTCCAACGTTGGCAGCCAACATTTCCCCAACGTTGGCCGTCAACATTGTCCCAACGTTGGGCGCCAACATTTCCCCAACTTTGACAGCCAATATTGTTCCAACGTTGGCAGCCAACATTTTCCCAACCTTGGCAGCCAACATCGTCTCAACGCTGGCAGCCAACATTACCCCGACTTTGACAGCCAACATTGTCTTCATTCTGCCAACATTGTCCCAACATTGTTCCAATGATGGCAGCCAACATTGCCTCAACGTTGACAGCCAACATTGCCCCAACGTTATTGGCTTCGAAATAATTTATTCCAACATCAGATGATCCAATCAATCTCATGATCGAACTCATGAAATATTCCTATTACACCTTCAATCGTATTCCAGGGGTAAACTCGCTGTTCACTACCTCCAAGGTCGTCAATACGCGCCCCCAGACTCCCCAAAATACATAACCGACCTGGACGTCTCCTACGGGGAAGCCTGCGCCGAGCGCCAATCGGTCCACAAGCGCCTGATAAAAGTGGGCGGAGGCATGATCCTGGAGCCAACGGAGCCAGTTGACCACTGGACATCATCCCCCATCTGGTCGGACACCCTCCAGAGGGTCCCCGATGTCGTCCACCAGGACCTCAGCCCCTACATCACGACCCCGTCGACCCCCGTGGACACTCCAGACTCAGCTGATCTCCACTCCGAAGTACCAGTCTTCAACTTCGACTGGAGCACCGAGCAACACGTGCCCAATGCCAAAATCATGGTGAGGAGGGACCTGGAGCAGAGACCCGAGGAGAGGGACTCACAACCCATTACTCTACATCTACCCAGAAGGAAACATCAGAATGACGGGGATAAAGATTATGATAAATGACTTGAGGAGTCCAGGGGTGTTTCTAGGTAGTTAAATGTTTGTTTTTTTAGAGTAATAGATTTTTTTGTGGTTTTTGTGAGCGAGAGGTGTAAGTGTAGCATTGCCTGAATAAAATGTGCCTTATTGTACTTAATTCCTGGAGTTTTATTGTACGGGATGATGGGATTATTCCATTAGCAGAGCGGGGGGGGGTTTATATATGATTTTTTTCTTAGATGAAGATATGAATTATGCAATAATAATAGCCTGAATAATAACTGAGTGGAATTTTTATGGCGATGTATTTTAAATTGAATTCAATGATTCAGTCAATTCAATGTTGGCAGCCAACATTGTCCCAACATTGGCCCAATGTTAAAATTGTTGACCTAACGAATACAATGCTGCCAATCAAGCAAAAAATCACTCAAATGCGGGCTAAAACTGTGCTGTGAATTATCAGCCGAAAGGGAATGAAATAATCTGAAAGATGGCTTAAAAAATTTGTTCCCTTTATATCAACTGGATAAAGTTGATTGAGGGTCATCTGAAGAGGATAAATAATTTTAAAAACTATTTAGAAATACGAGGTGGAGGCGCCGCTATCTTTGAAGAGCTTTGCGGCGGAAGGAGGGGGTATCCAAGCAAGATGGCGACGCCCGCATCTGTCAACCACCTCGTATATTTGAACATTTCTTAAGATTTCTAAAAAAATAACAAATTTCCCGAACTATCGAGAAATAAAAGATAAAATGTGAACGAAACGATTGGAATAAATTTGGAGAACTCATTTAGCATTTTTTTCTCATTATTGGGACTAGAATAAAATGAAGAAAACGCAACGAATGTTTCAGGATTTTTATTTGACTCGTCAAATAGCTTTTATTATCGTCATCTGTTAATTACAATAGAGTAAAAAAACCAGTGCCCTGACTCATTGTTTTTCATCTTCACAATTTTTTTTTTATCAATTTTTCATTTTAATTTAAAAATCATCAACACGAATGAACGAGTCGCCTCCGTCGGGTGTGATTTGTCACACGTTTTTTACAAGTCACAGAAGCTCGTCTTTTCCACATAATTCACGGGCAATTCTCAATATTTTTTCATTGAGTTTCACTTGTCATTTTGTTTGTTTAATCATTTGTTTATTCTTGGCTCTTTGAGTTTTCGGTCGACACGGTAAATTATTCAATTGGCACTGTCGATTGTGCAATGAATGAAGTAAAAATTATTTAAGACGAAATATAAATAAAACCTCAAATGTCTTTATAATAAAAAAACTAGAAAATCTTGAAAATATAAAATTAAATCCTTCGATGTAAGATTAGTATCTACAAAAATTAGGGGTTGTCCACAACTTCATCAACTCGGCAATGAATTATTTTTAATTAGAGAATATTAATTAATGAATTCGTAAAAAAATGAATTCATGAAAATCTCAAATTTTCTATACATCTCAAATGTTTCTCCGCCATCACAACGTCGTCCCCTTGATTTTTATGTTTCATAATTTCATTTGTATATGTGTTTATGTAAGTGTGTGTGAGTGTACCTCCAATCATCGTTAATTAACGTTAATTTATTAATTTAAGCAATAAACAATTTTCTCCAATTGTTCAGGCCTCATTTTCTCGACACCGGGTGGCGATAATGGCATAAAAATAATTTCATCCTATAGCCACAAAAATTTCCGTTGAAAAACCCTGGTTTTGAACCCATTTTGCCCCCTTATTTTTTTCGAAATCTCCAAAACCGTTTTTGACGATCAAAATCGTTTTCCACGAGTTTTGGGATGACCCTGGGGGCAAAATGGATTCAAGACCAGAGGATTTCGCCGGAAAATTTCTGCCCTATCGAATGAGAGTGAATTAAACCCCCCACCCCTAGCCGTTCCCGAGATATCTACAAAAACCTGAATCACAAATTTTTGAAAATTCATCGATCGCTGGCAACATTGTTTATTGCTAAAAAAAATTGCACAACAATTATCTCCTCCCCTAAAATCTCACTCGACAATGCTCCAACAACCCCTCCCCGCCCCTACAATGTTCCAAAATTTTTCCTCACTACTGTCTCCATTATTCAATAATTCATTAATTTTATCATCTTTTTTTCATTAATATAAAACACGTATATAAACATAGACTGACACACACACTTCGGTGTTTTACAATATATATATGTCTGTATATATATAATGTATATATTTATATACCCTACGGTTAAAAAAAGTTACGTCACGTTTTTTTTTCTCTATCTGACGTGAATACGTCGAGATAAGCGCAAGACAGGTAGAAACTATCGGGGGGCACTCAATCGAAGTTTTTGGTGCCTTTTATTTTTTTTTATCTCAATATTACAGTTAATTTTTCACTTTTTAATCAATTAATTTTTTTTAGTTTGTGCGTGAATGTGTGTTTATGCCAGTGTGTCATTCCCTTTGTGTTTGTCATTTTTTCTGGGGGTGGCTCTTTGAAATTGATGGGATCGAGGGATGAGAGTGCAATAGTCGGCGAGGGGGGAAAATTTGAGGCTAAAAAGTCAATATGGCGACCCGTTTTGCCCCATTACCTCTGGAGAAATTTGAAGTTGAAGTTTTGGGGATGACAATTTTTTTTACGATTATTTTCGATTTTATGGGGATAAAATAGTTCATGATGTTGAGTTTCTCCGGGGGAAATGCTCGAGCTATTGAAAAACCCCAATGCCCAATTTCTCCCCTCCCCCCTTTTCCACCGCCCAAAAAATCCAAAAATAGTAGAACCACCCCCTCTCCAAAAAAAAAATTAAGAAAAAAATCCCCAATATTTTTCCAAAGGTGAAAATAATTTTCCTCGTATTTCCAATATTTTATGAAAATGATTTGTTCATTTTTTCACGTGTGAAAAAAGACATAATTAATCGATAATTACTCAATTAATTAATTATTAAATCGCACAACCTTTGACCTATAATCGCCGTTAATTACGTTAATAAAACCTCGTCGTTGTCGTGATCATCATCAGGGGCGGGAAATTAGAAATTTCCAGACACAGATACAGGCATGATAGACATCTGTCTGTTCGTTGATGTGTCGTTGTCTGACTGTATTTCGCAGCAGAAACTTGTAATTCTCTGCCCTAATAATTTCCGTCAGAACCCAAAAATTTTTCCGTCGACGTATTCTCAGAAATGAACACAGACGCAATACAACCGATTTTATGTCTGTTAATGTCGATGTCTGTCTGTGTCCATGCTGAAAGATGAAAACCATTACGCGTCCACATGATGACCATCATAATCAGGACCTGAAAGTTTCGTTTACATCCAATTTCCACACACAGACACAAGAATGTGTCTGTCGATGTCGGTGTCCGTATCGATGTTGGAAATCGTGATCAATTACAGTGCCGCATCCTGATCATCATTATGAGGGCTCAAAATTTTTTTCACCTACGAATTTCTCAAAAGCAGACATAATTTCTGTCTGTCTGTCGTTCTGTCGATGTCGGTGTCTGGGTCAATGTTGAAAATCGTAACTAATTGAAATCCCACGCCTTGATCATCATCGGTGACTGGAAAGTTTCTCTAACTCCGAATTTTCCAGTGGGAGACGCAACAAAACAGACATAATTTCTGTCTGACAATGTCGGTGTCCGTGTCGGTGCTGAAAATCGTAATCAATTGAACTTCTACCCTCTAGTTATCTAGTGATCATTATCACGGCAAGAAAGTTTGGTAAACAAAAAATTTTCCAGTCCCAGACAACAAAATAGACATAATTTCTGTCTGTCTGCCGGTCTTGTCGATGTCGGTGTTTGTATCAATGCTGTAAATCGTAACTAATTAAAAGCCCCCGCCCTGATTATCATCGATGCCTAGAAAGCTTGTTCCAGTGACAGACACAACAAAACAGACATAATTTCTGTCTGTCTGCCGATCTGTCGATGTCTGTGCTGAAAACCATAATCAATTAAACTTCTACCCTCTAGTCATCATTATTCAGTCAAGAAAGTTTGGCAGACAACGAATTTTCCAGTCACAGACAACAAAATAGACATAATTTCTGTCTGTCTACCGGTCTGTCGATGTCGGTGTCTGTGTCAATTCTGAAAATCGTAACTAATTCAACTCCCGCGCCCTGATCATCATCGATGCCTAGAAAGTTTCGTCAACTATGAATGTTCCAGTGACAGACACAACAATACAGACATAATTTCTGTCTGTCTGCCCGTTTGTCGATGTCGGTGTTCATGTCGGTGGTGAAAATCGTAATCAATTGAACTTCCACGCTCTGATCGTCACTATCATGAATAGAACATTTCCCAACAACGAATTGCCAGACACAGACACAACAGATATCACATCTGCCTGTCTGTCGTTGTCTGTCTGTCTTCAAAATGCGTCTGTGTCGTTGCGGAAACTTTCCTGTCCCGATTCTCCTCCTTATTTTCACTTTCTCCCAAATTGTTTTGAAATTCCTAAAGCATTTTTTTTTCCTTAAACAATCGCATTTCGATTTTTTACGATATTTTTTTCATAATTTCTTTTTTTCATCTTTAAAGCTTTGTTTGGCACGTATAATTAGAATGTTATTCAGTACGGAAGCAATCGATTTTTTTTGTAGTTTTTTTTCGATTCCTACAAAATCACATCCTTCAAAAAACACTTTTAATTACTTTGTCTTTTAATTTGTTAATTTTCATTAATTATTTTATTCTCATCTTTATTTTTAGTTTTTTCTTCTACTCCACTGAGTCTACTCCATGTTTCATGCTCTTTTTCTTAATGTATTAATTACCACCACACTCCCTCACCCCAGATCCCAATTTATTTACCTTCTATATTTCTTTTTATTCCTTACTCCTGCAAAAAATCACGTTTTACATTTAGAACATTCATTTACAGTTTTACATCATTCGCTACGGGTTTTTTTAGTCAATATACAATGAAATTTTTGTCGTTGCGACCATTAATGTTAATGGTTTTTAAAATTATTTTTGGATCTGATGAATCGATTCCACGATTTTACCCTGTAATTATGGATTTTGTGGTTTGTCTATAAAAACAAAAAGTGAAAAACAGTTAACTAAAAAATTATGAATTTACAAAAAGTAGAATAATATATTTACTCCCTATACTCAGCAAATTCGAGATTCTCAACTCTCCGGACATTTTCCCGGAAGCTCTTACTCTCCTAAAGCCCCAACAATTCATCCCTTGACCACAAAATCCATAATTAAATTACTTTCCCCTCCCCCCCAACCCATTATTATTATTCCGTCCCCAGAGGGATTCATGCACTTTGCAAACTCCATAAAACCACATTCACCCTCCCCCTCCCCCCCCCCATGCCCATTCCTCAAAAAGTTTTTTCTCCACCTCCAGAGAGAAAAATACCCTTCATAATTAAAAAATAAAGGTACAGATCCGAGAACAAAAAATGTCCATGGCAGTATCTCTTTGTTCTTATGTTTTGTTTTTTCACGTTGAAAACATTTTATCCCCATTAACATTGTCGATTTAATATTTTAATGATGATCCATGCATTATGTTCTCATTGTGTTATTTTATTGTAATAACGAGGGGACAGGCGTTATCATGAATTTGTTTGCATTTTATTTTTACTCATTGAGTTTTATTAATCATTTTATTTTTTAAAAAAAGAGTCATTAAATTAATGAGACAACTATTGCACATTTAAGTAGATTAGTCCGGGGGGCAGGGGATGGGCTGAAGACATTGTGTTTTAATACTTTTTTTTTAAGTTTTAATTAGAGAGTAAAAAATTGATGATCACTGGAGCCCATTGTCCCGGACAATGGCTCTTGAGAAAATATTATTTGTTTAATTGATGAATTAATTAACGGAAAATTATTGAGTCGATACCAGTCGACGATGAAGTGAAGAGAGATCCTTCGGAAAGAGGAAGGGGGTGTAGAACACATATTGTTATGTGGAAATGTTCATCGAATGGATTTTTCCGTCCATTTTTGTCATTATTCTGAGGAAGAATCTCTTTTTTTATGTTTTTTTCGCGATTATTTTGAGAACGGAGAGAGATGAAGGTGCTCTCATTCGAAAGAGCGGGAAATTTCCGATGGAAAATACTGTCTGAACACCTATTTTGATCCACAACTCTTCGAGAAAATCGCAAAAAACTAATTGGGATCTATAATCGATACTTAAAGATCTACGTGATCTATGACGATTTGCGACATGGAAATGGACGATGATGGTATGCTTTTCACTGGGAGTGTCTTTGGCTATCGATTGAGACTAGTTCCACCTCTCGATCTCTCTCGAAGAGTTTCAATCGATTATAGATCTCCATCGATCTCAATGATCCAGAATGATCGATAACTCGAAAATAAGCGATGTTGGTACTCATTTAATCGGAAATTTTCCTGGCTATCGATTGCGAATAGTCCCAACTCTCTGTTTCTCCCCAGTCTCGATGAATCGTTGAAATGCGTGAAGGATCCCGTTTTAAAAAAGAAGTCGCACTTAAACGTAACTTAACCGTTATTACTTCATGGTGGACAATAAGCCCTGGCGGCATTTCTCCGCCATTTGCACTGTAGAATTCTCCAGTATGTTCTTCTGAAGTTGGCATTGCATAGTGCATAGCACAGAGGATTAATAGTGCTATTGATATAGCACAAGTAGTAGAAAAAAGACCAGAGTTCATTAGGTATCTGTATGATACAGGCCCTTGTTAATGGTTTGAGCAGGACTAGTATGTTGTACGGTGTCCATGTTATAACGAATGCCGCTAGAATAGCGGACAGTATTTTGGCTGCTTTCTTGTCCTGCGTACGTTTTTTCTTCTTCGGGGGTGGCTTGACATTTGTGCAGGTGACACTTTTTTGAACTGGTCTGATTGTAAGGGGTAAACGAACATCGACCATTGTTGATACGGAATCGATACGACCGGGTTGTGGCCTGTCGTCGTCGCCGATCACACTCCGCGTCTCCAGGGGTTTGTGATGGTCCTGGAGGGAGATCAGGTTCTCGTACATCGTTATGCTGGGGGCGGATGAGGGTGGAAGCTTTATCACAATTGTGTATACCTGGAAATTAGAGAGGGATGAGAATGCGCTTTCACGGTGGTCAGGAAAATTTACAGGCTGATAACTCAATAGGACGATCTATTTTACTCCGATACTTTGGAAGGTTTGAGAGAATTTAATTTTCATCACACTGTCCGTAAAATGTTATTTTACGGACAATTTGTAACTTGTTTGACTCGTGTGATTGCATTCCTCGGCTTCACCTCGGCCTGCAACCCTCACACTCGTGAGAAACGTTTTTTTCGACCTTGTGACGAAAATAGCTATTCCATCACATTGTCCGTAAAATATCGTTTTGTGACACTGTTCCGTAAAATCATATTCATGGACAGTGTGAAGAAAACTTTTGTTCGTCACTCGGCCGAAAATAACTTTTTCTACTCGCGTGATTGCATTCCTCGGGTTCGTCTCGATCTGCAACACTCACACTCGTCAGAAAAGTTTTTTTCGGCCTTGTAATGAAAATAGCTGTTTCATCACACTATCTATAAAATGTCGTTTTTACGGACTCACGGACTCGCATGAGTGCAAACCTAATTTGGAAGGTTTGAGAGCATTTTGTCTTCATCACACTGTCCGTAAAATGTTATTTTACGAACACTTCGTAACTTGTTCTGACTCGTGTGATTGCATTCCTCGGCTTCGCCTTGGCCTGCAACCCTCACACTCGTGAGAAACGTTTTTTTCGACCTTGTGACGAAAATAGCTATTCCATAACACTGTCCGTAAAATATCGTTTTGTGACGCTGTTCCGTAAAATCATATTGACGGACAGTGTGAAGAAAACTTTTGTTCGTCACTCGGCCGAAAATAACTTTTTCTACTCGCGTGATTGCATTCCTCGGGTTCGTCTCGATCTGAAACACTCACACTCGTTAGAAAAGTTTTTTCCGGCCTTGTGATTAAAATAGCTGTTTCATCACACTATCTATAAAATGTCGTTTTTACGGACTCACGGACTCACATGAGTGCAAACTTCATACTCGCCAGAAAAGTTGTTTTTGGCTTTATGATGATGATATTTTTACGATATTTTTGTAAAGTGGAATTTTGAGGCCTAGGCCGTAAAATTGTACTTTACGGACTGGAATTATCATTCCGTAACTACTCCTTTTGCAGCCTAATTATCCAAACTGTGGCCAGAAAATCCTGCTCTTCCGACTTAAGTCTATAAAATGGTGCTTTATGGACAAATCTACAGGATAATGGTTTCGACCTAGGCCGAAAAATTCAGCTTTACGAACTTGGACAAATTCCATTCTTTCTTCAGTTCCCAAGACAGTTTTTCAGGGAGTTGGTCGTAAAAATATGGGTTTAGAGATTTGAGTCCATAAAATAGTATTATACGGACAGATTTTGAAAATGAACTTTTTGCGGCCGAAGCCACAAAATATGGCTTAGAATCCAAAAAATTACGTGAAAAGGTAATTTTATGCGGTACTTTATGCAGTATTGGGAAAAAATGTTTTGCTTCCTTATATGATCATTCTAGGTACTCTAGCTCCAAGATCGTATTTTTACGCCCTAGGCCGTAAACTTCAGTTTTACGGACTTGCACTAGTTTCATTTTTTTTCACGTCCTCAATCAGATTTCCAGGGAGTGTGGTTATAGAGTATGGGCTCAGAGGTTTGAGCCTGTAAAATAGTACTTTACGGACTGGTGTAAAAAACGAATATTTTTCGACCTAGACCGCAAAATATGTGTTGGAACCCGAAAATAGTAGATTTCATCATTAGGCCCACAAAGTAATTTCTGTATAATGTAAACTATTTTATGTCACGGACCCCAAAATCGCGGTTTATCGGGCCTAGTAACATAAAAATACTTTATGCAACGTTTGAAGAAAAAAAATTTTTTTCCCTACTCCTACGAAAAGTATTATTTTACGGACGCTAGTTCGCAATTGTCAATTTCACGGCCTAGGACGCAAAAGGTCCGTTCACAATTCCAAACCTTTCGTCCGGCGTAACTCCTGAAGTACAGGAGCAAAACGAATCATCAATAAGAGTTTTTCAGCGGAAATTTTCCCGGCTGACCAATGAAATTGGTTTCACGATCCTCCGACTTGATTCACTTGTTGCACCTCCCAACAAGTGTCACTTATCGTTAAAAATAGCGTAAAAAATTTCAATTACCGGATCAGCAGACATATTCTTCCGAACTTGGCTGCTCTCACTCGATTGTATACCAGTTAATGAGGGACGTGAAATGGTACTGTTGAATGGTGTCTCAGCTGATACAGGTGTGAGTGTCTCATCGCCGGGATAGATTGTTTTACTCGGTACATCAGTTGCTGTTATATCGTCCTCATCGTCATCGTCCTCACGGCCACTGTGCCACCACGCTATGCACCACATTTTCAGGGATGACCAGGACATCGGTCTGTTCTTCTTGAATCAATTACAACTCTCATTAGTATTTGATCCAGCGGTTTGGGGGGGATTTTTATGGAGGGGTTTGCCGCACCAAAGGGAATGTAATTCCATCGATCGCGGACGATCATTAAATATTGCGGGGCGGAATGGAACTTTCGACGATGTAACATCCGTTGTCATTTTTACATTTTTCAAGTACATTTTTGTTTTAATTCTCCAAGTTTATCGTTTCGTTGATTTTATAAAAATTATCAAAAAATTGTCTAGGGAGGGGATGATGACGTCACAACTCCCTATGCTTTGGAATTGACTCACTACGAGGCGCTACTTGGGCTCTGGTGAGCAGAATAAAATGGCAGTCGCATTGTTCTCGAGCCCTGATTCAATCCCTAAACACGAAAATTTTCAATTTTCAAGTGACTATTTCAGTGTGCATTTGAACATTTCTGGAATATTAATTTTTTTTGTCGGATTGATTTTTTTCCCATCACTTACGAGTGTCAAATTATTTTTATTGGATGTTTTGCTAATTATTGAAACAATATTAAAATGCATCAGAGACATGGCAATCCCGCACGCATCATTCCTATGGTTATTTAGAGTTGGTAAACCTGCGGAGTGTTTTCTCTCTCTCAGTTCCATGGTCTAACCTATACCTCTCCCATGATGCTCCAGTGATTATATTGACATTCGAATTGCGCGCCACTCACGGTGATGGCGTCATTGCCACACGTGAGCCTCAATGGATAGAATTTGCCCCGAAACTCATAATTTCCCGTATCATTTTTTCAAATAACTTTCTTATGAAATCTAGAAAAATTCTGGAAATTGTACGTACTTTCAAGCAAGATTTGATTCATCACCCACTAGTTTTTTTTTCAATAGTTCATTATTTTTTTGGGAGATATGAAAATTTCTCTGATTGAGAGTGAGGTTACTCTCCACCTTATAGCTGGAGGCATTACAAAATCATCCAAATTTGATCATTTTTTTTCTCAAGACCGAGACCTAGAAAAAATATGAAAAAATTCCCAATGATGTTGTGTACTTAGACATTTCTCCTATAATTTTTTCAAACTTTTGTCATTATTTCAACTTTTCATACAAAATCTCTTAATTTCTGAAGACGCAAATTCGGCAGTTGGCGTTGACGGACCAGAGTTGTGACGTCATTCCAAGTCCTCCGGGTACTTCAAATTCATCATTTTTCAATAATTTTTTTATGAAAAAAAAATTATTGAAAAATGGAAGAAAGGGGGATCAACTGGTCTCCGCACGACTCAATTATTCTGAATTTGATGGATGTGAAAATGACTTACAGTATCGGGATATCGTCTATCCAAATACGAACTAGCGAAATTCGATGAATTAACGTCATCATGGCCAGTGCTCGATGCACTTCTCCCTCTCCTACATCCCTCCATATCCAGCGCCTCATCACTGGAATTACTTCGTTTACTAGCATCCTGTTTACCCTCCTGCAACTCCTTCAAGTCTTTTATTCGTTTTTCCGTCTCTCTCCATATTCGCCAATAAAGTAGCATCATAACGCTTACGGGAACGTAAAATGCTGCTATTGCTGTGCCAAATGTTATGTAGTGATTTGTTTCGATAAATTGTATGTAACACTCGTCGTTTGGCACTGTTCTCTCGCCCTCGATGTACGGCCAAGCGTAGATCCAGGGGGGCCAGAGGAGGATTGATATTCCCCAGGCACCAGCTGCAACAAACATCATCAACACCGATCATTAATTAAGGACAACAAGCGTCACGAATAAAAAATTCCAAATTATAATTTTTTAAATTGAAGAGATAGAGGTCTAAAATGTGGCAAGAATCGAATTCATCATGCCCTTCGCCTCTAAGTGTCTATACGAGCCACAAGGATCAAAGAATAATGATATAAACTGTGGCGAAGCTACATTTATATTTATTTCACACCATTTCAATGTATTGTTTTCGAGCTCGGCTTAGCAACCGAATTTCGTACCGTGACACGTGTCGCCGATATATCGCTGTCCTTGTCGCAAGACATCCTCGCGACGATTCGTAATAATTCGGACATCCTCGATCGGATGATCTAATACCATTGTTGCGGGAGCTCACTCTCGTTCCAGCTCTCATGGTGTAAACCAAAGTTACTTTCGCTGTGAATAAATTCAATTCGATATATACGCTAATTCCGAGTGTTTTACGTTACAAAACCCTTCTATCCTTCACTGAATCTCACATAAACATTTCGAAGACAGACGAAATGCCTGGGAGTTACACTTCACAAAAAGCTCTCATGTATCACGCACATTAACATCGCGAATGAAAAAAGCGAAAGCCGTCATGGCTAGGCTCTACTACCTATTTGAAAAGAAATCCCTGTCGATACAAGCCAAACTCAAATCGTATAAGGCATTAGTCAGGCCGGTAATAACGTATGGCTGCCCCGCCTGGCATAATGCAGCCTCCACCCATATCGCCAAATTCCAAGTTACTCTAAACAAATATCTCCGCGTTATTAATAATGCCTACTATGGCAGCCCTATTACCTCCCTCCACATTAGCTCCAACACAGAAATAATCCATTACTTCATAAATCGCACTGCAGACAATTTCAAAGTGAATCTTAAAAATCATTCAAATTCATTAATAAATAAAATGGAGCCTCGCAAAATTTCAAGATGGTCAAGTGGCCGTAGCTGATGTGTCACCGCAATACTCAAGATATAGGGTTTTTCACTGTTCTATTTTTCCTGCCATTAGCATCCACCCTATTTCGTCACTCCCTCTCACTCCGTTCTCCAATTTTTTTCAAAATTAATTTTTTTTTATCAACAGAAAAATTTCAAAATTGGATGAATGAGGAAATTTGCCTGGCGTGAATGACTCTCGCACTTGAACCAAGTGCAGGCGGTGGTATCATCCCCTCCACTCAGACACCTCCGCTCAGAACTCTAGTCCAACTCTCGAAAAAAAGGCAGAAAAAAGGGGAGAGAATTGTTGGAAAAAATGCATCTCCACTTCATCACAAACAGTAGTACACTACATCTATCCCACAGAGCCCTGGAGCAATGCTTTTTCCGGACACTTAGCATCGCAGTTTGAGGGAGGTACACTAAGATACAAGTGTGCCAAATGAACAGCTATGAGTGGTTCAAAGTACATCAAGAGAAATATCTAAATGTAGAAAGTGAGAGAGGGGAAAAGAATGAAGTAAACATTAGAGATAATGAACTCAAGTTTCACGTGGAGGAAAATCTAAAAAAGTTGGTTTTCACTCCGACAGATGGTTTAAGGGGTTAACATGAAATTCAAGCGATGAGATTGGATTGAAAATATTTTTTTGTGGGATTGAAGCAGCAGGAAATTTTCACTGAATTCGGCGCTCTGAGGAGAGATTAAGGCGAGTCAATCCTAATTCTAGGGGAACTCCTAGAATTCAGTGAATATTGAAGTGGCGAATTTCGAGGAAACCATTGAGATGTGAAAATTCTCATCGAAATGAATTCCATTTCTAAGAGGAAATTCTGACAATCGATGGGACTTCTAGCATGGCCCCTAGAATTCCCGAAAACTCAAAAAAATCAACTTTAGAAAAACCACAGAGACACCGAAACACTAATAAAAGTGGATTACGTTCCTAGAAGAAATTGCTAAAAAGCGATGATAATTCTAGGGAAACCCCTAAATAGAATTTCTCAAAACAAAAAGGGGAAGACTCTACAGTTTTGAAAATCTTAGTCTTTAATTAGAAAAAAAAATCGAAACTATAAATTCGAATCAAAATGAATTAAAAATATGTCCGCCTCTAAAATTCTCTCAGAACGTTCTATTATCCCTCTCTCAAACTCCTAGCCCAAGGAAGTCCTGAAACTTCTCTAAGAATCCCTAGGAACTCACCGAATCTTTAAGAATTCATTTAAACTAAAATAAAAAGCATCAATTATCGGCGGTTTCCTTGTCCCTTTTACAACCCCCTAGCCTGAAAATCCTTAAAACCCCTAGAATTCTTTGAAAACCTATTGAAAAGTTCAATCAAACCCCCGAAGACCTTCAACCCCCAGAATTCTACCCATTGCAAAACCAACAACAACCTTCTCCCACCCCTCCCCTTCACCCCTAACCCTCAGAACTCCCCTAAAAATTACTGCAAATACCTGCAGCTCAAAACAACTCCAAAATTCGTCCCCCTATCCTAATGAAAACCCCTAGAAAATTTCAATCAACCTCCGAACACCTTCAACCTCCAGAATTCTATCCTTCGCAAAACGAGAAAAATCTTCTCCCACCCTTCCCCTTCACCCCAACCCTCAAAATTCCCCTAGAAATCACTAACAATACCAGAAGTTCAAAACAACTCGAAACATAAAAAATTCGTCTCCGAATCACAATTCCTTCAAGCAACTCCCTTTCCTCCCGCCCCCACAAGAATCCATAACCCCCCAATCCCCCTCGCCCCTAGAAAACCTCTTTATTCCATCACCCCCTATTGTCCCGCCAAATGAAAACCCCTTGAAAATTTCCATGAAACCCCCGAAGACCTTCGAACCCCAGAATTTCACTCTTCGCAAACCCAAAAAATCCCCCCTAACCCTCAAAACTCCCCTAGAAATCACAAGCAGCTCAAAACACCTCTCAAAAATTCGTCTCCAAATCTCAATTCACTCAAACAAATCCCTCCCCTCGCGGCCCCCTACCGCCCTACAAAAATCCATAACCCCCTATCCCCCTCGCCCTAGCAAACCTCTTCATTCCATTTCCCTCCATTGTCCCCCCTAATGTCGATAAGTCGATAGATTTTCCCCTTTTACATTCGCAACAGGTGTCACTCCAGCCCGTAACCACTATTTATCCTCAACTTATAAACCCACCCCTCCCCCTGCCCCCTTCCCCTATCCCGCCCCGCCCCCCTGTGTACTAATTTCCCCCCATAGAAACCCACAACTTCTTCATTAAAAGAAGAACTTCTGATCGAACCTCATTTATACAAATTCAATTTCATTCCCCTCCCCCTACCTCCCACCCCCTCTCCCCCTTCGCCCCCCTAACCCACCCCTATTCGCAACAAGTCTAATAATGTCTCGCCCACAGACTTAACATTTTCATTTATAAACTCTAAACATAAACCATCAGGCATCTAAAGCCTAGTTGGTTTGACGTATGTGACGTATGTGGGTCGTCATTGCCATTATCTTGTAATGCGGATTTGTGTGCAAAACAATAGATGCAAAACCGTTTTGCCTCAACACGTGTGCTTTACTCATCAATGTTTTTTTCCTTCTCTCTCTCTCCTCTCTCTTTCTCCCTCTTTTATATTTTTTTTTAAACTTCATTTTATGCCTCCAACAACAGGCGAGAACAACGGCTTCTGGTATTCAATGTTATCACTACTGCCACACTATTGAATATGTGTGTGTGTGTGTGTGTGTGTGTGTGT